AGAGGTTTATGTTGGTGTCAGATGTTCAATTTGCTGCAAAAGAACACAGTAGCCTAATATGAGTTTAAAAGAAATATTGTCTCCAAAAGCTATATTCTGACAGAATGCTTGTATTCATTTGGCCATTTATGGGACAGAACAGGTGTCATTGTAATTGCTGAGCTGCTTCTTCTCTGACATCCCTGGGATTTTATTGTGGAGCAATATAAAACTACGTTTTTAATTAGTGAATTCATGTTGCTCGCAGCCATTACAAAGAGCTTGTTGGGCATGCACACAGTAGGCCTGTTATCTTTGAATCATCCCCAAGATGATTCTGCACAGGCAGAAAGGCCTCTGCTGCATTTATTCAGAAGGCCGTTATGGCCCCACTGATGTCCTAAGGTGTTTTCCCAGTGTGTTGTCTCACTGGAATGAATCATGTGCAATTGAACCAGGAATAATGCAGTACTGTTTTGGCTTCAGGCACTGGGTTTTTTAGCTTTGGAAAATTCACTTGATCCGTTGATTCTGTTCTTCAGGTGATGACATGAAAATAATGGTATTTCAAGCACTGCAAGGACTGCTTAGGAGTAGCATGTTTCTGACCTATAAGGGGAAGCAGGAAGTTGCACAAGAAAAAGCAAGCATTGATACTTTGCTATGAAGATAGGATTGTACCTCCTATCCTCCTAGTCTAGAGCTATAAAAGCTATAGACTGCTCTGGCTGAGGGTGTGCATCATCCTGTGCAGCACAGTCATCGAGGCAGAATCACAACACTTGCACCTTGTACCCTGCAGCTATTTTAAACATGAATAAAAATTTCATGTTGAGTGCCAAGAGCTCAGCTGGAGCAGACTTGTGCAAACACCTGTAGTTTCACCAGAGGAAAACAATTTTAATCATTTGTCCTTGGAGATGTGTGGACTCTTTATGTATCATTGCACAGAAAAGCTTTTTGTACATTTTTTTAGAATGCATTGTACTACAATTTTCAACTATAGCAAAAAAATGTGTTTTTTTTTTTTAATTTTTATAGAGTAAACTTAATTTATTGAAGGAATTTTATAATCTGTTAAGCTTAATATTAACTATAGACAGGGACTTCTAAAGTTTTTAAAATAGAATTTTTAGAATATATTCTTAAGAATGACTGTTCTTTACAGGTAGCAAATCATTAACTGTGTCACATGGTTTCCATATGAATTTAGTTTCACTTTGTGTTATATCAGTAAGCCCTTTAACTTTCTTTGGATTGCAAGTCTTGTAAAGGTATGGATGGGAAACCTGCAAATATGCAAATCTACAATTTTTGAACTGAAAAAACCTCTATCCATGGCCAGTATTCAGGTAACCCTGCATTTTTTAATAGAATTTTAAATGTATAGTGAAAAAGGAAGGCTTTTTCTAATCACATTTTATTGTTTCTACTTTATTACAAAATGATGCTCTTAAAGTATTTTAGTTTTTAGAGCAGTTATATTTATGCTGACTGACAGTCACTTTACTCTTCTTGCTTCTGTCATGTTAGATCTCATATGTTTAATAAGACCGGGGACAATATAGTTCTGAGTGATACAAGACCCTCTCTCCTGTGGCACTTAATTGAACCCCGCCTTGTACATGAGACCACGATGCTGTTTGGAGTGCTATCATGCATAAAATATAGGGGATATTAAAGGCTGAGATCTTCCACAGCGATTTCATCTGAGAGCAGGTGCACCTGTGAGCAGGCGTTGGTGCTTGCACTTGGAACTGACATTGGACATCTGTCAGTACAGATTTGTGAGTCTCTGGTAGCAATTTTTTAGGTAACTGTGAGCAAAATGTAAATCCTGTGTCTTACCAGCCATTCCAAGGCTGTTTCAAGACTAGATTCCTTATTCAAGATAATTATGAGACAGTAAGCAAGCTGCCACGCTTGGTGTGGCTCTTCATTTATCTTAGCTTACCTGATGGCTTCATATTACCACCAAGATGTCCAGACAGGTCTGCAGACTGCTGGCGTGGCAGCAGTTTGGGCAGTAGACTTGTCAGAGGTAGAAATCACCTGGCTCACAGCTGCTCTTCTTGCTGTTGTTTCAGAGGAGTCTGGACATAGCCTATAAAACTTTCTTATATTCCTCTTTGTGAAGTGCTCAGATACAAAAGGATGGGGAGGCTGTAAAGAGAGATGAATCCAGTTACCTTTTTTATTTATTTCAGGTGCAAAATTAGAGGCTAATCCCTGCCACTGGAATGTCTAGTACAGTATTACTCATTAAATGTGAACCTTGATATACTGCCTATTTTGGCCATAAATTGCCTTCCAAAGAACTTTCTGTTTGAATCTAGTTATTGACTAACTAACCTTTTGCTGTTGTGCTTCCTGCAGCAGTCAGATAATGGACCTGACCAGGATTTTTTTGTTTTCTTTGATTTGGTTCTATATTTGGTTTTGGTTTTAATCAGTTCTAAAAGCAATGCATAATGTTCTTGTTACAAAAAAGGGTACAGCTTGACAAAGGTGGTATGTCAACTTGCAGAATGATATGATGTTATATAGAGTAAATACAGTTTCCTTTGGAATTTTCATGAATGAACAGTAGCAATAAATTCTTCTTGGTTCCTACACAAGTTTTCAAATATAAAACATTTCAAAGAATCACAGAACAGCTGGGGTTGGATGAGACCTCTGGAGATCATCTAGTCCAACCTCCCTGTTAAAGTAGGTTCACCTGGAGCAGGTTGCACAGAATTGCATCTAGACGGGTTTTGAATATCTCCATAGAAGGACACTCCACAACCTCTCTGAACAGTCTGTTTTAGTGGTTTTTCACCTTGAAGTCTTACCTTATATTCGAATGGAATTTCCAGTGTTTCAGTTTGTGCTTGTTGATCCTTGTCCTGTTGCTGGGCACCACTGAAAAGAGTCTGGCTCCATCCTCTTGACACCTGGCATTAAGATATTTGTATGCATTAATAAGATCCCCTCTCAGTTGTCTCTTCTCCAGCCTGAACAAGCCCAACTCTCTCAGTTGTTCCTCCTGGAAGAGTTGCTAGAGGCCCCTAATCATCTTCATAACCCTCTGCTGGACCCTCTCCAGTAGTTCCTTGTCATTATTGAACTGGGGAGCTCAGAACTGGACACAGTACTGCAGATGCAGCCTCACCAAGGCAGAGTAGAAGGGTAGAATAACCTGCCTCAACCTGCTGGCCACACTCTTTGTAGTGCACCCCAGGATGCCACTGGCCACCTTGGCCACACAGACACATTGCTGGCTCATGGTTAACTTGTCTATTTGTGTTTGTAAACACAAAGTTTAGTTTATGTTGGACTTTGTAGTGAAGTCCACTTCCACAATCTAAATGTGAATTGGATATAAATTGCGTTAGTGATTTGAAAGACATTAGTGGTATTTCATTGTAGGGGATAGGAAAGAACAGTGTAAGGATTCCAACTATCCCAGCTGAAAGATCGCCTGGACCAGGACATGAAACCTAAGTAGGAGATAGAATGAGAGGCTAGAAAAAGCTAAGGCCTAGATCCAAAAAAACAGTGTTTAGACACTCAGCACCTTTTCAGGCTGTTATGTTCCCACTTGTCTTTATTAGGAAATTAAGAGCTTAAATTCTCTTTTTCGGGTTTATACCTGGGTCACAGCATAGACGAGCCCAGTCAACACAAGCAAAGAATAGTCATTACCTTTGTTCATGAGTTATTAACCAATTCTCTCATTTCATTCCTCTGTGGCAGTGTGCTTGAATTTGCAAAAATCCAAAGGGACCTGCCTACACATGCCCTTCCCCTGCTCTAAGATCCCTGGCCCAGCTGTTTGGCACTGGCACCACCCCAAACCCAGTGGGGTTGCCATGTTCTGCATCCCATCCTTTGTGTTTGCTGCCAGCACCTTTTTCCTAAGACACGTAAATGAGATAAGGGATTTTGTCATTTTAATTTTTAGCTTTGCACAGTTGGACATGAATGAGACCAAGAATGTACTGCCATATAGCTTTTCTGTTTCACCTGGCAAATACCAAAGATCTACAGAGGAAAAACATGTAAGGACTACCCAAAGAAGTCAAAAGAATCCTTGCAGTGTTGGGCAGTGTAAATGTAGTTCAAACTGCGAATTAATTCTATTTGTAGTGGACTATGTAGTTAGATCATCTGCATGTAGCTACTTCTCACACAGCTTGGGAGACAATTCTCAAAGAGGTGTAGACTGGTGCAGGTCGGGTCGTTACAAGCCTCTTTAACAGAAGAGCTGCAATCCTATTCAGCACTTTCTTGCTGCATGTGGAAAACAGAGCAGGACTGATAAAACCACTAGATGTATGCACACAAATGCAGTAACACAGTTGGAAATTGCAGAATGATGTGTACTCTGATGCAATTGTGTGCACTCAAGACAGAAGTTTTCTCAATGTTTTGTGCTGCGTACCGTAAAGGAGAAGAGCTCAGAAGTTAAGAAACTCCTGGAAAGGTATCAATCTTTTCCCCATAAACTGCTTTTAAAAACTGGCTTGTTTCTTAGTGTTTTGCAACCGTTAGGAATTACCTCAACAGCTGCCTGAGTGGAGAATCACTGGTTGGGAGAGTGACCTCAGCAGGTTCAGAAATGCACCTCTCTTGGCTTGATTGTTCACTGATATCTCATTACATTCTGTATTTTGTGCTTGCCTATTTAAATGGTTGTGAGAATTTAAAGAATTTGCTGTATGATTCTTTAAATGAGGGAGATATTGCTACTGCTAATCTTCTTTTTTCTTCTTGTTTTTAGGAACCACTAATGAAGAATGACTCCACCAATTAAAAAGACAGTTTACATTTATCTTTTCCAGAATAGATATGTATCAAGGAAGTTAATTTAATATTTAGATCAAGAACATAGAAAAATGCAAGTCCCTTTGCCATAATAAAAATGCATAACCCAACTTTTCTTTGTATAGAGCCCTATGAGCAGTATCATCAGTAAAAAGACTCTATTGTAGTAAAGCATTTAGATTCCTTTACATGAAGTGAGGAGGGAATGATAAGTGGCAGTCTAACACATGATGAAATTTACTAAGCAGAATTTTTTTGTTTTAGTTGGCGGAATTATAATTTATGTAGTTGATATTGGAGTGGACTTTTGGGTAGCTAGTAAATATTTCTGTCAAGGACAATATTCTTGGAGTATATTGATACTGTGTTTTAGAGGTATTTCATCATTAGTAACTCAGATATTTAGTTATGACTGGTTTAAAAACGACTGGGAAGGTACTGATACTGGGAAGTTGAAATGGATTTTTCTAGTTCATCTCTTTCACTGTGGAATTTTTATAAGGTATGTAAACCTCTAAATTTATCTTAAAATGAGAAATCATGTTCCTTTAAGACGGTTATTAAGAAATGCTTAGTATGACTTCAGGGACAAGACCAGTTCTGGCCTTACTTAACAATTACTATGAAAGGAAGGAGATTTTTGTCTGCTTTTGCCAGGGTAAATTTTATCAGGTTTTGTTGTACCTTCAGATCTTCTTTTATTTACTTGTAAGTAATAATTTTTATCATTCACAACCCAATTCTGTTTGATTAATCAGCCTTTTCATATGGCATATGTAATAAAACTGCTTGCTTTATAGTGTAGTACTGTTGTAACTGATAAATATAAGTTTTCAAAGTGATGTTATGCACACTAAACAGCTGAAGTAAGAGGTAATTTTTCAACCTGAGAATCTAACCACATGTAGAAAAACAACCAAAATTCAATGGAGACATGAATAGCTGCATATAAGAACACTTGCGGCAGTACTTCTGCAGGGACTGAGTTAATTGTGATAGGAATCTTTGCTTAGCTCTAAGGTAATTACCTTAACTCTACGGTAATCCACAAAACTCTTGGACTTACCTGAACTCATACCCTTTCCTGAATGAATACCTCTTACCATGAATTTCTATAACTTTTGAATCTTCTTTCCCAGAATTAGCCCCATCTTCTCTGAGTGGCTTATTACGTAGCAAACATTATTTTGCCCTTTGCACTGACAGTGTTTTCTACTTGATCTCCTGTTCTTTGTTGCACAAATGATATTTTCTCCTATGCTGCCACTTACACCTGGAAAACTTCCAAGATGATACGTATAAACTGCAAAGTTCTTTCAGCCACTCCTGACAATTCAGCAGGCTGAAAATGCATACTGTAAAGTATAAAATGATAACAGCAAGCTGGCATTTGTGCTTGTACCTTTGTGACCAGCTACTTCCTGTTGTATGTGTTTTCTTTGGAATATCAAGGTACAACTCTCTCATGTTCTACCTCTTAGTCATCTGATTTATGCAGTTAATTTAGACAATGAGTCTCTCAGGTCTAAGGATACAGTCAACGGATAAAAGTAGATTCTGTCACGAGTCAGGTCATACTTGTCAAGATGAACTTCACCAGAAGGTCATTTGGGACAGGAACCTGAATTACAGATGAAAATGGGAGCCTCCCCAGTAAATATGTCTTGGCCAGTGAATTTAGGATGCTTGAATTGGGAAGATTACCAAATTATCTTTCTTCATTTTTTCCCTTCTTTCTTCGCTTCTTCCATTTCTCATATGCCTTTTACATTACTTGCTGCATCTTTGAACCAGGGAACTTAGACTCACAGAACAGTTTGATTTGGAAGGGATCTTCAAGATGATCTCACTCCAACCTCCCTGCCACGGGCAGGGACACCTTCCACTAGACCAACCTGGCCTTGAACACTTCAAGGGATGGGGCATCCACAGCTTCTCTGGGCAACCTGTGCCAGTGCCTCACCACCCTCACAGGAAAGAGTTTCATTCCTAATATCTCATGCTAACCTACTATCTTTCAGTTTGAAGCCGTTCTCCCTTGTTCTATCACTACATACCCTTGTACAGAGTCCCTCTCCAGCTTTCTTCTAGGCTCCCTTTAGGTACTGGTGAATTACAAGCTGGTACCCTTTAGCTACTGGAACTTTGTCAGGTTTGTACAGTGCACAGCACAATGGGAATCAGTTTGGTTATCTTATCACACTGCCAATGCTAAGTAATAAATATGAAAATCATATATGTGTATACACTTACGTATATACATATATATATTAAAAAAGAAAAATGAAATAAAAATATTACATATCTAATAAGGCTTTAGTTTCTTTTAATGAAAAGAATATATACCTGCAATTGTATTTTATATGAAATATTTTTCTCTGCAAGGAGACCTAATTAAGTTGGTAAAGTATATATTAACTATGCTGACTACAATGATTTTCAGCCTGACTAATTTAAGTGGTTCACACAGATGTTGGTAGAATCAAGAACAGTCTGTGACATAACAGATAACAAAACAATAACACAGTCAGGGAATGTGGGAAAGCAGGACATTTCCCTAGGGCACCATATGAATTCTGGAGCCATCTGATGTGTAGCAGTTTGCAACATCAGTCAAGGACACACCTGTTGGAGACGACATTTTAGCAATTCCTAACCTTTGCTTTCAGAATAGAAGGCCATACAGGCAGAAGCTGTTGTGATACAGGCAGGTGCTATTGTGTCTCTTGATGCTTAAAGGTAGCATCAGGATGCCCTGATGTTCTGAAAAGGAGCAGATGGAAGATTTTTTTGCATATTTGTAAAGATTAATTCTAAATCCATGAGGCATGAGAATAAATGTGAGTACTTTGCTGAGTCTGAGGTTATTTAATTGTATGTTTTTAAAAGACAATGAGAAAAATTCAGAGCCAAGATAGATGATGTTCTGTTAATACCTGGTGCTGGGCTGCAGTGTGGGCCCTGCTCTGAGTTAGTACCAGCTGGCAGCAGTGAGCACATGTGTGGGAGGTGCATCCATGGGTAAAGGAACTCCTCTGCATTGTGGCAGAGCTCTGGGAGGAAGTGAGTAGGCTGAGGAGTATCAGGGAGGGGCAGACAGGTAGAATCACACCTGGCCTTCCCTGAGACAGGCCCAACAGTCACAGGACATGATACGGACAATTCCCTATCCTCTCTCCACCTGGCTGAGCACAGCGACTTAAGGCTACGGGGCAATGGCAACAAGTTCCTTCCCAGGTGTGTCTCCTCTGTGACTACCTTCACAGGTGTCCTGCCACAACAGGTGTGAGGCTCTGCAAGTGGAACTGAGTAATAGCAAGGATGATGGTTCATCTAGCTTGGAGGTGTCACTGAGGTTACGTTACCCTACACCCTGTGTCAAACTCATTGCTCTCCACAACTGAAAGCAGGCTGTAGTGAGGTGTGGGTGAATCTCTTCTCTCAAGTAACAGATGATAGGACGAGAGGAAAGGAAACAGCCTCAACTTGCCCCTGGAAGGCTTAGATTGGATATTAGGAAAAATTTCTTCATTGCAAGGTTTGACAAGCATTGAAGCAGGCTGCCCAGGGAAGTGGTGATGTCACCAACCATGGAGGTATTTAAAAGATATGTAGATGTGGCACTTAGGGACATGGTTTGGTGGTGGACTTGGTAGTGTTAGAGCAATGGTTGGACTCGATGGTCTTAAAGTCTTTTCTAATCTAAACTATTCTATGATTCTTGTGTTTGATCACATTTTCTTAATATATATCTACTGCCCTAAGTCCTGACTTAGTTGCATCAGTTTTGTGGATTTAATCCCAGTATTTTGATACTTAGAAGGTGAAGTTTAGTATGCAACAGAGAGTATTTTTCCTTTGATTAAGGATTTATGTGATTTATATGATGCTGAATACTGTGACAGTGTGACCAGAATTTAGACAGGACAATCACTATTGCCAGGCTGCTCACACCCTGCCTGTATGAACTTCTAAATGGCACCCAAATCTTCAACAGTGTAGTGTGATGAGATGGGATGTGTAGTGTAATGCTGGGATTGTGTTGCAAAGTTCTCATTGGAAATCTGAGGGGAAGCATGTGATATGGAAACATTGGCAAGGCAGCTTGCCTGTCACATGTGAAGGCTGTGAAGCAACAAAACCAAATAGCTGTCACCTCTGTGAATTCCCAGTCAGAGACAAAGCCTTCCTAATTTTACAGGAGATAAGGAGCAAATTTCATCCCTTACGAAATGATGATAAAATTGTAGGAGCATCTCAAGAACAGAGAGACGGTGGAGCTGTGTTTCCATGAGTTTTTATAACAAGTAGGAGCCCTATCATCTGTGTTCTCCACAAAGCAACACTGCAAAGGCAGAAACCTTTTTTTCCCCCGTCAAAGCGAATATGATATTTAGAAACACTGATAATTCTTTACCATTCACATATGATGATTCCAGTTATAAAGAAATTATGGGTTTTTTACTCTGTTGGCTTCCAAGTAGCTAATATACCTTGAATTAATGCAAAACATATTCTCTGTAATGAATTTAGAGGAAGAAAAAGTAAATTATAAACCTGCATTTGTCTGTGTTACTGACATACCCATTTCACCTTCAGTTTAAGATGGACATCTACTTAAAATACATAACTAATCCAATACTTTCAGTTAATGTCTTTTTATTACAGTGGAAGTACCTTTTTTGAAAGACTTTTTACGGTTTATGAATATTGAAGCACAGAGCTTCTACAGCAATAGATATATTATAGGAAAATAGATTATAGGAATATAACTATGATAGGGTCAGAGCAGGCACAGGGTTTAGATGAGCCATGGGCACGATAAAGGAGAAAATTTGAACCTGACTTACTCTTTAGTATGGACTGAACTTTGCCTTAGGCTGGGAATGCAGTTGTCCAACATTAGGCCTAAAAGTTGGCTATGAACCCTTCCTAAAATGTTTCTATTGCATGCCAAATGGGCAGATGACAATGGGAGTGTAAGCTCAAGATACTTTTAAATGATGAAAAATTTCTCACAGTGAACTACAGTAAGTGACAAAAGCACATGGAGCTCAGAGAACATCACTGTGCTTAATATATAGTTAAAGAGCAATAGAAATATTTTGACTTTTCTAGAAAAAACCAATGTATTATATACAGTCAGGAGTATACTTCATGGTATACTATAGCATACCATCTTATAACAATATAAACCTAGTATACCATGCTCAGAAGCAATGCACTTTGAAAAACTGACAAGTGATTTCAGGTGTGCATCCAGCTAAAATATTCCTTTTACAACATGCCCTGCATATCACCTGCCTTCTCAGCTGTGAGCTCCGTGGCTTGAAATTTTTGCAGCTGGTTTCCACTTCTTGCTGCTTGGACAAACACAGGCTCTGGTGAGTGAGTCCATGGACAACTAGCAGATCAGTCTACCCAATTGTTTTTTCTTGAAAACATTGCAAACTTTCCAGATGTTTACATCTCAGATGAGAACCAGATGTTTTGGAATACTAATTGTTTTATAAACGGAAAAAGCTATAGATGCCTTGCCAAACAGTTCAGTTCTTTACTTATGAGTGATTATTCAGAGAATACTAAGAAAAACATACAAAAACATAAAAGTAGAAAAGAGTTTCCTTTGGGAGTAAATAATGGATCTAGAGCCAGCTCATGGAATCAGGAATCAGCCTGAATGGCAGGGATGCAGTCTATGAATCTCTGCAAGGAGAAGAGCAAAGGCTCTTCCTCTAAGGCTCTTTAATAGTAGCACAGCTGCTCCACACCTACTCCTATCAATGCTTCCATGTTACAATTCTCATTTGTATGGTCAACATGCTTTAACATATCAGGGAATAAGTTCTGAGTCCTCTAGCATGCACTTAACCAAGCACCTGCCAATCCCAGCTGTCTTGGTTGTAGCTGTGGAAGAACCCCTGATGCTGTCTCCCCTGTGGTCAAAGGATTTGGTCTTTAAAGTTGCTGAAGGTGTTAAACTTATAACCCCTGAAGGAGTCAGGAGTTCTTCCTAGCTCCCTGTGATTCACTGCTATATTCCTGAGTGTTTAGAAAGTAACACTGTAGTGATTTTTTTTTTTAAAAGTTTGTTATATGTTTGCAATTCATCAGGGATTATACTTGGGGCTTATGGCTCTAAACTATACTTACATAGATGTGGATGTTCAGAGCTGGATATTCACTACTACTCTTAGAAAGATACAAAAAAACTGAATGAGTATCCCAAAGAGGGACTGAGGAGAGATGCTAAGGGAATTTTCAGAAATGCAGTACTTTTAAAGAAATAAGAACCTAACAAAACAAAGCTTGTAATCTTTATTCAGACAAGTCTGATTCTGTTAGTTTTTATATTGCACAGTATTGCTGGGCTTAAATGATTTTCTGATATCTCTGATACCAGACAGATATCAGAAAAAATTTTAGCTTAGTAGAAGATGCTAGATTACATGCAAAGATAAATATCAGTGGAAAATAAAATGGGAAAAGTTGTTGTTAGACTATATAATTTTATTGGGTTGCTCTTCTAAAAGCTGCTGTCTAATCAGTTTTCTTTTTTTATTAGGTATTGGTTTGCTTTGAAATATGGCTGCCAAGCTGCATTTAAACTAAAAAGCAGTGGAGATGCTTCAGAAACAGATCCTTCCAACTTCATTAAAAAACAAGCTATTGATGCAGTGACTGATATTAACATGCTCAGGGTGTTCAAGGCTTTTCTTGAGACCACGCCACAACTTTTTGTCCAGATTTACATCCTCATGCAACATGGCAAAACTAATTGCTATCAATGTGAGTCTGTCTTTTTCCTTAATTTACAAGTTGAGTATCTTACTTAAAAATATAACTCATGTGATTGGATAACATTAAACATACCTTGGAAAACACACATTCCACAGTATAATTACCTTCATTTAATTAGATTTTCTGTCTATTGGATGGTCCATTCTGCTAAATCGATGAGAAGGAAGATTTCACTATAAAAAGTCACTTAGGCAATACCTTTAAGAACCATAGGCTGGGCAGGATAACACAGGCATACCAAACAGGTATCAGATGCCTAGATTTAGGTAACTAAAGTGAGCCTTAAAATTAGGGTGACTTGTTCTGGAGCACAGAGTAAATATAAAATTGTGGTAAAGTGTTAAGAAGCATAAACTTGTCCAAAACTTCATTCAGATATTATAATGTAAAATAAGTATCTTCTTCTCTGGTTTAACATTTTTCCTTGTGTTTTGTCTAGATGCTGCCATTTTTATGTCTCTTTGTGGTATCTCCTTTTCAATGGTTGATTATCAGATGTCATTGCAAAAATCTCTGCCTGACAAAGGTGAATTTCATGTGACTTCCAAGTTCATGTATCTCTTCTATAAACTGCTTACCATCACTTCTTGGGTACTCAGTATTTCACTTATCACTCTACTGAGTGTTAGAATTTCTGTAATTCTGCTGATATTTCTTTGGATCTGTGGCTTCACTTGGACTTTGAAACAATGTACAACATTTTGCAAATCTAAGAAGATGGAATATCTGTACAGAACTGTAGTAGGAATAATTCTAATTTTTACTTTTTTTAACATAAAGGATAGAAGAACGAAAGTTTGCATTTCTATTTATTATGCTACTCACACTGTAGTAACTCTAGGTATTTTGTTTGTATATATGTTCTGGAAACCTTCCATTATCAAGGAAATACATTTTACAATTGTGATCATCTTAACTATTTTACATCTGGTGTTAGGTATTATTTTTCTTGTTGTTTATTATAAGCATTTTCATCCGACTACTTATTGCAGACCACAGGCATGTTTAGATGAAGTTGATGGAATGACAGGACAAAAGGATAGAGTGAAAACCAGCAGGTTTCAAAATTTTTTAATGCCATGAATGGTATAGATCTTTTTTTGTGAAGACTTCAAAGCAAATACTGGACAATCTGTTTCTCTGTCTTGTTTCTTATGTATCATCACATAAGGGACCAGAGTTATTGACTTTGAATAACTATTTGTTTTCTGTGATGCTGTACGAAAACTGTAACATGAATATTCACCTGCTGGTGAAAGTTACTTTTGAAAAAGAAACAATCTATCTATCCAACACATTCCACTGTTTTAGTTTTTTTCGCAACGCAAATGTAAGATAGGAAAAGCTAAAAGTTAATAAAATGAAACCTAGCATTAAAACCACATTCTATTCATTTATGTTGATTCTGTTAAAAATAAGGCAGTGGGCAGTGATCAGTTATCTGCTTTTCCCCATTACTGTAAGAGCTGCAGTTCGTTTTTAGATGCACATAGTAACAAACTGTACTGCCTTCTCCCTAAACATCCCCTAAAGAAGAATAGCTTTGATTTATGGCTTAATCACTGTCTTGCAACAAGGAAATTTGGGGAGATATTTTCAAGCATTTTATCTTCTAGGTGTTTTAATGACTCCTTTGTTGTTTTTGTTCTGCTAATCTTTCACAGAATCTTCTGTACTTAGGGGTGATGCCAGCTTGTTCGGGGTTATAATAGCAGCCTGAGTGATTTATGGATGGCAACAGGAGTTTTGCATATAAAGGAAGAACTATCTTCCATAAAGCTTTTGTCTCCTTTGGGCTCTAAGATGCAACACTTTCAATGCTGGTTTCCACTGAAATAGGAGGCTGTGCAAGGTATGCAGCGGTGCAGTCTTTTGTCTTTGTCACTGGAGAAAAGAGAAAAGAGGAGTGACTTCTGATAAATTGCACTCACAGGGACTGGGAAAAGATATAATAAGTATCTTGTCCATCAAGAATTTTTGGCAGAAGGCAGAGTGAAATTAGACAACGTTTCATTGAATGCTAAAACAAAGGAAGTAAGGTTGATAGTCAGTATTTTCAGAAATAAAATTTAAGGGGAAGTATTTCAGAGCTTCCATGTTTTAAATCTGTATTATGAAAATCTGGGGCTCTTTCTCTCCCATTTTCACTGCCAGTAAGTCACATTTGCAGTTAAAGTGGCTACAGACAAAGGGAGGAAACAGGGTCTGAGAAAAAAAGACTAGAGATAAGAAAAACTGATAAACTTCACCAGGAACCAAATCTTTTAGCATTGTTGATTAACAGCAAACTTCCCTGAAACTTTGGAGAAATGGCTGATAATAAGGTCGATAGTTAGGGTGCTGAAGAGCCATGTCTTGTGCCTTTTGTATCAAGTTCATGGACTGCAGAATGCCTTTTTCTTGTTACTCTTCCAGTCTTACCAAATCTTACTGAAGTTTCTAAATGTGGTTCTTTCCTGTTCCATGTCCACGTTTTCTTTACCATGCCAACCATGTACATCTCCTTAATCCTAGTCAAGGAAATGAATTTCTATGTGCATAGTTTGAACTGAACAGTCTGACTTTCTGAGACTACACATGAGAAAGTAGTGTAGTGAGAAGAGTTTGCTTCTAAAATCCCTCATTTCCACTTAGGGAGAGCTAAATATGGGTCCAGAAGTTAAGACATAGAAAAGCACAATCCATGAGACTAAAGCAATAGTTTTTCTAAAATTAATATATAAAAGAGTATCTTCACTTCTCTCTACTATGGAAAAGAGATTTCCAGATTTTTTTGCCCTGGAACATTCCTTCTTAGGTAAGAGGAAAAAGCCCAAGGCTCCACCCTACCTCATGCACCATGATTGCCCTAAATTCTGTCTCCTTTATCGCAGAGTATTTACTACCAGTGATGGTGTCCTTGGCAGCAAAATGCTAGCCTGGTTTTAGGCTGAATATACTTTTATTTTGCTATGAAAAAAATAGGATCCTAAATAGTGAAGATGATCCCTATATTGCTTCCCACACTTGTTTGTTTATCTAAAATCCCGAGAAGGAACTAGAGTAAGGAATGGTGGAAAATGGAGAATATTATCTCTGTCTTGAAGAAAATGACAACTTTTTGTCTACCATTCTTTTGAAGAACACCTCAAACTTTATACATTATCTGAGAAGCAGATCTCTGGGGAAATATGGGATCCTGAGAAGTCCTAGTGTGGGCATTTCAACCCTGGAGCCTCCGGGTTGTCTGCCTGCTGACAGAAATCTGGAGCCTGAGTTGCTCTGGAGGAAGGTTAGTTTCTGGTGAAACAAAAGAATTTGTCCTGCTGATTTTTTTTTTCTCCTTTCAATGTACTGAGAAATTCCAAATAAAAGTATTTCGTTGCCATCTCTCTGGTCAACTCCTAACACTCACTTTCTTTCATGAGAGAAAAGCTGAATATTATGCTGCCTTCTGTTCTTATGTCTCCTTGCTCCCTCTTCTGTGCCACTAAGAGGAATATTATGCTGAAGTTGAGTTGGTAAGAAAGATACCTATGTGGCTGTTTATATCACTCTAATTCAAATATACACCAAACCCAATTACTTCAGTTTCAATCCGTACTTTTATGCTTGTAAATCCTCGTGGATATAGCCGTATCCTAAAACAGCGAAATGATCCCTGGGGAAATCATGTATATTGTTTCAATGAAGCTTAAAGAGACCTTCAGTGTCCTGCCACCGATATGTCTCCATTTTGCTGTCAGTCATAGGGCCTCAAGAGATGGGAATTCCTGGTAGCTTGTACCCTGTAGATTTTTATCTACAGGGGAATATTATGAGAATAAAAATGTTTCAACTGTTAAGTCCTCCCTCTCTTCTTGACCTTGAGTTCAAGCTTTTCACTTGATTCCCTTCATTTTCACAGATATGAAAATGGCTTTTCATTCATTTGGTCATTCTAACTCAGAATCACTGTGGTGGAGTGGACAAGGAAGCACATGAGTTGACTCCAGACACATTTGATATCACCAATGACCTCTTCAGACAAAACAAAAAAAGCCCCACTTCACCTGAGTGTAAAGTTTAAACAATAGACTTCATACATATCCCTTCTGTTCCTGACTAATCTTAAAATTCAGCTGCCACTCAGTTCATGCATTGTGCTTGACCTTGTCATTTTAATCTAACTGCAAATTGAAAACAAATGGGTTTTTTCTCCTTTTTTTTTTTTGTGTTAAGTATGCCCATTACATCTTACAAGAAGTATTTTAATAAGTGAAATAAAATTAATAAACAATTTCTTCCTGTTTTGACTACTGTCAGACCTGGGTAAGAAGAACAACATTCAACAGAATTGTTTTAATTATCTTACTAATATTCAACGTGCCATTTGATGGCATGGGTGAGCTCACCTGATGTACCACAGATAGCACTGATTTATGAAGCCATAATTGGGTTTCCAATAAACATTTGTCAAAATAATGTATTCATTCAAACCAATGCCTTCTTTATTTATTCATATAAAAGAGCACTTAACTTTCAACAAAGAATTGCCTGCCATCAAAAACACTCCATAAACGGGGGAAATTTATGAAGATACAGTACCAAATGGTGATTTGTGGAAGACTAAAGTTCACTTTAACCCTTCAGAGTGCTGAGTTCCACCTCTTGCTTGGTACTAGTACTAGTACTAGACATATTTCTTACTGAAAGCCCCAAGCCCAAACATTAACCTTTGTATATTTGCACATTGAAGTACCATCTCCTTTTTCTACCATAGTCTTACATCTCAAGGATGGTTTCAAAACTAGCATCTCTCATTTTTATTATGCAGTGTAGAAGCATGCACAGAGCTCAAATATTTTTGGGCTTACCTACATTCTGCCCACAGGTTTCACCATGTGTACATTCTTCCAGGAAAAGATAAGCTTTGAAAGGTTAAACAACATATCTTGTCTGAACCTGAAGAAGTACATGTACTTGTCATTAATTCCAAGTGAAGAATTGTCCTGTTTTACCTCTTCATGCACTTCTCTAGTTTAATTTTACAGACTTTTAGTAGAATAGCAAAGTAGATGGGCTGTGCCATAGATATTTGAATGAAGTGCAGCTAATCCCTTGGAGTCCATCTTCAACAAAAAAATTTTCTTCTTTTACCTCCAATTAGCTAACATATAAAAAATACAAGTCACACCAAAGATTCTCACTATGCAAGTCTTACATTCATTAGCTTAGTAAAATGCAGACTTTGGTAGTATAGGCAGTGATGCTTCAAGCAATGTAACCTGCTAGAATCTGTTGAAAATACAAATTGCACTGGCCTTCCTATGGCTGTATTCTGGTTTCTATACGTTTCTATTTTTAGCATACGGTTTTTATTTCTGACAGTGAACACAGATGTAAATAACAGAACATCATTATCATTATCATTATCATTATCATTATCATTATCATTATCATTATCATTATCATTATCATTACTACTAGTGGCACTTTGTTGAAGTGTCTAGGATGACAATACATAGAAGAAAATGTATCTGTTGGATCTGGAAAGCAACAAAAAATTAGTAGTAAAGTTCTGTAATGCTTTATCTGATCACTTACAAGTGATCTCAAGTCTCTCTGATTCAGCAGAGATATTTTTTAATGGAAGCCTAGAAAGGAGATAGTTAATAATTTTGATCTGTGAGCAGTAAGTAAACTGCTGAAAATAAAGGGCCAAATGTTACTGGACAGTTCCTGGCTGCTGTGATAAAATAAACGACAAAGCTACATGTTTGCAGGTCACTTGCAAAGATGAAGGTACAGAGAAAGGCACAGTGGGTAGAGAAAATGAGAGCTGGTGTTTTTTCCACATAACATAATCCACACATTCAGTCTAACTTGAAGTATGTTATGCTGTAGTAGAGGTGAAAGAAATCTCAAACATAATTTTCATCTTTTTTTTTCCGAGGGCATGACTTTTAATTACTCGAATTCAATGCACTGTAGCACAAATAGTTCTGTGCAGAAGCTTTGTCTTATCTCTTCTTCCCTCTTTGAGTGTTTGGTTGCCATCGTAAAGTATAAGTTCAGCTGCTGCATTCTCTAGGGCCTGGTTTCCTTCAGAGGTTTCTTTTGATGAATTTTCAGCCCATGATTGAAAAAATAGCTTCTCTTCTTCAGTGGCAGGTGTTTAGTCATCAGAATTTGTCTGTGTTCACATAGAAGTTTGAGCAACTTCAGAAAATTGCCATTAGGTTTTTTTTTTTTTTTTTTAATAATTCTGCTATGCTTATATTTGGGGTTTTAGGGGACCCCTGGTGGTCTAGTGGTTAGGATGCAGCACTCTCACTGCTGTGGCCCAGGTTCGATTCCTGGTCAGGGAAACTCCCCCGGGCAGATGGAGCTCGTCAGCCCTGTAAGGCCATCCATCTAAGAGAAGGTCACTCTAAACAAACCTACATCCTGAGGACCTCGCTGCCACTGTCCAAGCTCGCTCGGCCCCGGCAGATGAACCT